GAAATAAAAGGAGCCACAGTTTCCTCCTCCAAACCTCCTGGAGCTGGAGCTGCCCCCTCCATAGGAACCCCCTCCATAGGAACCCCCTCCGCAGGAGCCGCCCCCAAAGGAGCCGCCCCCAAAGGAGCTGCCCCCACCGCAGGAGCCCCCCAAGTGCCCCATGGAGGAGCCAAAGGTTCTTCTGCTCCCAAAGGATCTGCCCCCTCCAAAGGAGCCCCCGGAGCCAAAGGATCCACCAGAGGAACCGCCTCCATAGGATCCACCAAAGGAACCNGGAGGTGGCGGGATGGGATCTGGAGGAGGAATGGGGTCTGGAGGTGGCGGGATGGGATCTGGAGGAGGAATGGGATCGGGATGCGGCGGGATGGGCTCTGGAGGGGGAGGAATGGGCTCCTCCTGCGGGGGCTCCTACGGGATGGGCTCCCACAGCTCGGGCGGCTCCTGCGGGGGTGGGATGTCACGGCTGGAGAGCCTCTACCGCGGCTCCTATTTCTCAGGCTACGGCAGGAATTATTATCCCTATTTTTCCCGAGGGTACTACAGGTATCGCTACGGGAACTACGGGCCTTTTTAACCCTTTAAAGCTGAGGAATGTCCACAGGAAAAATAGGATGCAAAGTAGTAGTTGATGGCTCGGAATTCCAAGCAGTCTCTGCTCCAGCTGATCCGGTCGGAGCCGGGGTTGTTTGGATCTTGTTGTGCTTTATCCAAGGCTTAGGGTCCCGATGTTCCCTCCCTTTGTCCCTCGCTCCTGTTGTGTTTTGTACTCCCTGAACCTGAAGAGTCAAACCAGTCATGGGACTTGGCTGTGAAAGTGTCCAGGTGGAGAAGGAATGTCTCGGAATGACTGCTGGACTGGAGTCCAGGCTGAAATGGGAATGCTGAAATGGGAATTCTGACATGGAGATTCTGTTCTTTGTCCCTGTAGTGCCTCATCCCACCTTTTGTTTGTATTAAAGCCCTGTTGCATCACAGGCCCGGGTCCTGGCTTTTATTTCACCACAGTTTCAGTTACAAACCGGTCTGAAGAAAGGAATCCTTGTGCAGTAATTAATTCTCATCAGATGGGAATTAATCCCACTGTAATGCAAATATAATTAGTCTGAAATTCCTCAATAAGCTATTTTCCCTTTCTGATCTATTCCACATTATCCAATAAACAACACAGAATGATTTCCAGTAGGCTGGAAGAACCTCCAGGGATGGAATGGTGCAGCTCCCAGTTAAAACCAGTTTACCCTTGGAGCCAGGGTAATGGGGGATTGGGATACTTAGGGGTGCTTTTGTGGGGATCAAAAGCTGGACCTGATGACCTTGGAGGTCTTTTCCAGCCTAAATGATCCTGGGATTCCATGTCAAGGAAAACCAGGAAGCTGCCAATGCGATCAGAAAGATTTTTATTAGGGCTTGAAATAAACAAAACAGAATAAAACAGAACAATTCGTTGGTGGTCCGAGGGCAGCCAGGCCACCCCCGTGGGTGACAAAAGCCACGTCACAGGGTGCAGCCGGAGCCTTTACAGAAAGGCCCACCTGGAATTCTGAAGCATTCCCACCCCACCAGAAAGGACAAGGGGACAAGATGAATTAAAGAGTTCCAGGAGAGACTTCATCCCACGGAACAGCGTTTGATCGAAGATGAGGCACAAAAGGAGGAGATGTGGGCCTGGTTTTCAGGGAGCAGCCTCGGAATTCCAGGTCTGGATCTGGATCCTGGGTTTTCATCTTCTGGGTTGTTTGACCTTAGCATGAGCCCCAGTTCCCCAGGCGGCTCCTGCGGGACCTCAGGCCGTAACAGGAGCCCACCTTTGCCGGGGAGGCTCCGGAGACAAAGGCACCCCCAGATCCAAAGGAACCGTTCGCCCCCAGCACGCCCCCGTACCCACTGGACCCCCAGGAATTCTGCATTCCAGAACCAAAGGAACACCCACGCCCAAAGGCACCCCTGATCCCCGAGGAGCCTCCGTAGCTAAAGGAGCTCCTGGATCCGAAGGAGCCTCCTGCCCCTGCCATGCCCCCAGGCCCAAAGGAGCCCCCCGCTCCATAGGATTCATCGGAGATGTATGGGACCGGATCACCAAGAACCATGGGATGGGAAGCTCCCACGATGCTCTCCTGGGAGCAGGTGGTGAGAGTGGGGCCTGGGAAGGTGATGACGACGGGAGGAGGGTACACCACGGCTCTGGAATCGCCACAGGAGGCAACGCAGGGCTCCAGGCTCCTGCTGTAGGCACAGGGCTGGGAACAGGCCACCTCGCAGCTCTGCAGGCACTCGGAGCCGGCGTTCGACATCATTCCTTAGGATTTGGGATCGAGCTGGGAAAGGAAGTGTGCGGTCAAGGAGGCAGCACAGCCAGGCCACGGGCTCCCAGTATGAACCAGTTGTGCTTTGTCCTTCTCCAGCTGCTCCCAGTTCAACCCTCCCTCATGGATTCACATTTTTCCTGCTGTTACCTTCCTTCCTGACCTCTTTGAGGCTCCTCTGTTCTTCCTTTCCTACCACCACGTCTCTTTTTCTTTGGAATCTCTCAAAAAGAACCTTATCCTTTTCTCCGGGGCAATTCCTTGCCCAGGAAAGTCCCATTAATTCCCTTTTCAAGTAGATCTACAGGAAGATTTGCCTTCAGAAAGTCCCCAAGGAAAGCCCCTGCTCTGTTCTTCCCTTTCCCCCAACTTTTCCAAATTCACTCATCTCCCTCAGCTTTTCCAAAGCCACAGGAATTTTGCAAGCTAAAAAAGAAGATATTTTAAAGTACGGAGGAGTACAACGAAGTCAGACTTACCCCGTTGTCTTGGAGGGAATAAATCAGTGGAGCTGCAGGAATGGAGGATTTCTCAGCTCTCTCCCCTTTTATCCTGTTTTTAGACAATAAGGAGGATGTGATGTCACCCATTTCAGTTACTAAATCCTTATCATTTACAAAGAAAAAGATCCTCTTAAGCCTCGCCATTGTTTTCATTTCAGCTCATAATTGCTGATCATTTCCAGCCCTGCTTTGAGTGACACAAACCCAACACCCAAAAGTCTCCTTTTGTCTCAAACTTCATGGGGAAAAATCCTTTCGGCATCACTCCGGTTCCAAAGGAAACAGGAGTTGATCTCTGTGTTTATTTTCCTTCTGTGACTTGCAGGAAGGCGGCTCCCCACGTGTCACTCACACAATTGGGGTGTAAGCCTCAGATTTGGGTCCAATCCCTCCCAAACGGAATCATCCGACCTTGGATGGGGGTCAGGGATCTTTGCAACCCTCCCTGCGTGCACGGACTGAGGGGATGAGACAGCGAAAACACATTTCAAAGGGATTGAAGCGACAGGCGAGGTCCTCTGAGCCCTGAAACCTCTGAGTAATTTTAATCAAAACTCATTTTGGGGATGCTGAGCTCAGCGATGTCGCCACCGCGTCACCGGTGCCGCTGCGAGGGCACAGCCCAAGGTCACCAGGCCTTTGTGTCCTAAGGTGGATCCCAAACTTGGAACCTTGGAATCATCTCGCTCGGAAAAGCCCTCCCAGGTGACCACATCCGACATTTGACCCATCACCACCTGGTCACCCAGACCGATGTCCAGTCGTTCCTCGGACACCTCCAGGGATGGGGACTCCAAACCCCCCCGGTCAACCCCCTCCAAAGCCTGACCGCCCTTCCCATGAGGAAATTCCTCCTGAAACTCTTCCCAAATGGGTTTGACCTTCAAAGTTATCTCGCCATCAACCCAAGCCGTTCCTTGGTTCAGACTTGCAGGCTTGATCTGTGCAGGCCTCACTTAAATCATGAATGAGAAATAACAGGCAGGGGTCAGGTTCCATTGTAAATCCAGTCATCCCTGGAATATTGCACAGGAGCCTGGGCTGTAAAATTCCCACACAATGAAAAAGCCAAATTTATGATATGAGAGTCAGATTGTATATGTCGAGGGTTGATTTGCTAATTGGAAACTATGAAAATAATTACAGGCGTTAGAGGAGTCACACAGAGGGAAAAAATCCAGAATTTGGTAAGGGTGAGAGGTTTTATGGGATGCTTCATACCCCAGGAGCTGCCTCCGAAGAGGTATAAAAGGAGGAACATCTCAGGAGTCTCCTCAAACCATCTCCTGACTTCTTCTGCTACTTCAGGTGAGTTGGAATTAAGCTGATCTTTGCTCTCTCTCATTCTCTGTAGCGACAGTTTTAAACCAGGACTCGTTCCTTGGTTTTTGGGGGATTTTAGCCAGGAGACGCGGCAGTGCAATCCTGCTTTTCGTTGGAGTCTCACTGCAGTCGGAAAAAATCAATTTGATACTTAAAGATAGAATTTTAGAGGTTACGTGGATTTTTTTCTTGTGGCTTTCAAAGCTTGAGGTGCGAATTTAAAGCTTGAATTTACTGAGAAACCAAGTCCTAGGTGTCTTCTGGAGCAGAGGGAGAAACGGAGTCCCAGGTCAGGAGGGTTTGAGGGAGGAGGTGAAGCCACACCTCGATCCTGTGCCCAGTTCTGGGTCCCCCAGTTCAGGACAATCATTGAGGGGCTGGGGTAGTGGGAGAAGGGTCTGGAGAACCCCTGGGGGAGCTGGGAGAGGCTCAGCCTGGAAAAAAAGAGCTGCCAGGGGGAATTTTGGGCTCCTCCAGGTGGGATTTGGGATCTGATCCCAGGGAACAGGGACAGGACAAGAGGGGAAGGTCCTCGAACTGTGCCAGGGGAATTTCAGGGTGGATATTTGGGAAAATCCCTCCTGGAAAGGGCAACCAAGCCTTGGAAGAGTCTTGGGGAGGTTGGAGTGGCTGCCCCTGGAGGTGTCCGAGGAATCCCTGGACACTGCTCTGAGCGTCCAGGTGGGGATCAGGCACAGCTTGGACTCGATGCTTTTGGAGCTCTTTCCCAGCCGCAGGCATCCTGGAATTCCACGAGCAGGGAGGACAAGGACAAGGACAAGGACAAGGACCTCTGTGTGTGTGTGGTGGGGCTGTGACATTCCCTGACTCCATCTTTTCTCTCCCAGCTCCTCCTCCAGCTCTGAGAACCATGAACTGCATCAGCTCCCGGTGCCTGCCCGGCTGCGAGGTGGCCTGTCCCGAGCCCTGTGCCTACAGCAGAGGCCTCGGGCCCTGTGTGGCCTCCTGTGGGGACTCCACGGCCCTCGTCTACGCCCCGCCCGTGTGGATCACCTTTCCCGGCCCCATCCTGAGCTCCTGCCCCCAGGAAAGCATCGTGGCCTCATCCCTGCCCCAGCCCTCCGGTGGCTCCTCATACGGCTCAGGGATGGGAGGCTCCTCTGGTGGCCTGTCAAGAATTGGGGGCTCCTATGGATCTGGGGGCTCCTATGGATCTGGGGGCTCCTATGGTTCTGGGGGCTCCTATGGTTCTGGGGGCTCCTATGGATGTGGGAGCTCTTCCGTGGGTGTCTCAGGAAGGGGGGGTTCCTCTGGATGTGGGGCTTCCTCCTCGGGGGGCTGCTTCCTCAGGAAGTTCTACACCAGCAGCAGCCGTGGATCCCGCCTGGGAAACTGAGGCAGCTGAAGATCCCTGGGCCCGGGAGATAAAACCCCAGAATCCAAATCCGCAGCTGGGGCCGGCTTTTGGAGACGGCGAAAGCATCAACGGGAGCCACCCTCGCTCAGGACCTCTGGGAACGGGGCCCACACCTCTTCCCCGCATTCCCCTTTTGTTTTAATTAGCAGCCTCTGTTAAATCACCCTTCAGTGTCAGCTCCTTCTTCCCATTGTGCCAAGAGAAGAAAAAAGAACAGCTTGAAAGGCCTGGCACGGAGCTTGTCAATGCAGCCCTGACAGGAGAAGAACAATGGGTGGAAGGTGGATTCTTCTCGGACAGTGAAGCTGAAGGAAGGAGCGTCTGTTTGGTGTCATCCCCTTGTGTATCCCATTAAAATCCTCCTGCATCAGCACGTTTTGTTGGGATTTCCTTTCTCTGCGGGACCATTTCGCTCCCGTCCTTTCCTCTACCTCCTTAGGCTTCCCTCATCTGGTTCCGTGAGCAGCAATTACGGGGTTTTATGGTAATTGGGCAGTAATTATTTAAGTAATTGGGGTTGTGAAACCGAGGGTTGGATGAAGCACCTAAAATTTAAGCGCAGAGGAGTTCGGTTGCTCTCCGGGGGGCACGGAGCTCTCTGGAGGTGACAACTTTGAGCTGCAGGATGAACAAGCAAGGGCTGAGATGTGGTCTGGAAAGCCACGAGGGTTTTGTGTTTACACCCGGGTTTAGATCATCTCCTCTCTCTGAAGGATTCTGATCATTCTTGGAATCATAAATTCCAATCCTTGAGGCTGGAAAAGATCTCCGAGGTCATGGAGTCCAACCTTTGGTCCATCTTCCACCAGACCAATGTCCAGTGCAATGTCCAGTCCTTCCTTGGACACCTCCAGGGACGGCCACTCCAAACCTCCCTGAGCCCCTTCCAAGGTCTGGCTGCCCTTTCCAGGAGGAATTTTCCCAAATATCCACCCTGGCAGCTCGAGGCTGTTCCCTCTCCTCCTGTCCCTGTTCCCTGGGAGCAGAACCCGGCCCCATCCATTCTGTCACCATATTTAGAACCAGTTTTTAGAAATTATCATGATTCCCCGCAGAATTCTGAGCCTTAGGGAAGCTGAACGCATTTTCCGGGGTGCTAAAGGTGAAAATCTGAGGACTGGGGGTGGGAACCAAAGGAAATCCACCAAAGAAGCTCTCCTTGATTTCTGAGCCGTCAGTGCCCAACGATTCAGGATGTGGGGAAATCTCTGCCTGCTGTGGCATCATCACAGGGCTGCTTTTATTTGACAGCAGAATGTCACCGGGCTGTGCAAGAGAGAATTTCCCAAGGGAGGAGTGGCACAAGAGCACAAACCCCGCCTGACGTCCTGGTTGCCAGGATGGGAACACAGAAACAGCCGTGGGTGAGCCCCGGGTCTAAAGATCTGCGAGGGGTGACTTAAACCCGGCTTTACTCCCTTGGAAAACACAGGAGGGAGATCGGGAACCACCCAAAAAAAAGCTGAAAAAATTATTTTAATACTTTATATTGAACTGTAGAATCCTTAATGTTTGTTGAGTCAAGAAGGATGAACTGAAATACGGGAAATATCAGGGAAAAGAGGATCTTCCCATGAGAGAATCCTGCTTGGAAAATTTAATTTTTTGCTCCCTGTTTAAGCTGAAAATGGCTTTAAAATATTATAATTGACAGCCCAGGACATAAATAGAAAATTGGATGACACACTACTAAAGTTGCTTAAATTCCCCGTGTGCCTAAAGAGGTTTAGGAATTTTAATCTGCGATTAATTTAATGATGGCACGCAATAAATTAATCAGCTGAGAGCAAAACATTAATGGGGCTGAAGGAAGAGGCTCAATTGGAAAATAATTGGATAATTTGTTTGTAATTGTGGTGAAGCTCTGGGGAGAGGAGACGAAATCCCACAGAATTCCAGTTCAGCAAATCCTGGAATGTGTCACAGGGTGAAACCAGAGCTCCAAATTCCTGTTGAAGTGGCCCAAAAGTCACCCCAGGATTAAAGGCAGGAGGATTTCAGCTGGCTCAGGTCAAAATGGTTTTCAGCCGAAGGATTTGTAGGTGAAAAGGTGGGAAAGAAAACGTGAGGGGAAAAAATAGGGATATAAAAGAGTTTCAGTGGGAAATGCTGAAGGTGGAAAATTTGTTATCCACCCCTCAAACCCAGCCCTGGGTGGGATAAAGGGACCTGGCTCTCATTCGGGAGCCTCCAACCCTCCCAAATTCCCAGAACCTCCAATCCTCCCTAATTCCCAGATTAGGCAAAAGGATGACATGGAAAAAGAAGTTACAAGGAAAAAGAAAACCAAAACGATGGGAATTTGAATGCAAAAGGACTTTAATGTCAGGGAAGTGTTTGGGTCACACGGAGGGAGCACAAAGGATGATTCCCAGGGCTTTGGGAAGCCATGCAGATCCACAAAGGCCGGAGAAGGCGATTCCTTGGATGTCCCAGGCTTGCAGCTTCCCCAGGAGCTGAGGCCAGCCCGGGGCTGCTGGTGGGAGAGCCGCGGCTGCCTCAGAAATAAAAGGAGCCACAGTTTCCTCCTCCAAACCTCCTGGAGCTGGAGCTGCCCCCGCCATAGGAACCCCCTCCATAGGAACCCCCTCCGCAGGAGCCGCCCCCAAAGGAGCTGCCCCCACCGCAGGAGCCCCCCAAGTGCCCCATGGAGGAGCCAAAGGTTCTTCTGCTCCCAAAGGATCTGCCCCCTCCAAAGGAGCCCCCGGAGCCAAAGGATCCACCAGAGGAACCGCCTCCATAGGATCCACCAAAGGAGCCGCCTCCGTAGGATCCCCCCGTGGAGCCGCCTCCGTAGGAACCCCCAATCCCACCCGTGGAGCCGCTGCCCCCTCCGTAGGATCCCCCAATGGCGCCCCCGGATCCAGAGGATCCCATGGCCCCCGACGGGAAGGAGGTGCCCACGATGCTCTCCTGCGGGCAGGAGCTGAGGATGGGCCCCGGGAAGGTGATGACCACGGGCGGAGGGTAGACCACGGCCCGCGAGTCCCCGCAGGAGGTGACGCAGGGCTGGCTCCAGGCGTCCGCGTAGGGCTGGGGACAGGACACCTCGCACGGCGACGAGCAGCCGCTGCTCATCATCGCTCCTGAAGACATTTCTGGGATAGACGGCAACCTGCGACGGCACAGAAATCACAACTACCCATCCCAAAATTCCAGAGGGAAACAAATCCTGCTCCGGTGCCTTCCCTGGGCAGGGAAAAAGGGAGGAACAAAGAGCTTGGAAAGATTCCTGAAAACATCTTTTTTTGATAGGAGAACTGCAGCACTGCAAAGGTGGAAAATTAAGATATTCAGGGAGCTCTGGGCCTTTACACAATCACCAGCACAATTAAATCTGTAATTTCCTGATTGAAGAAATTATTGCCCTATAAATACAAGATCTCCTCTCATTTCCCTCCACCCTGAGTAAAAGCCAAGCTCGGAGTAGTTAAGTTGTAACCTCCCCATCAAATAATCAGGGTTTAATTGACACTTTCCCCGTGTGGTTTGGAACAGAACAATCTCATTGAGATCTGCGTCTCCCAAGCCACAAAAAGCTTCCCTGCCCAAGAGACAGAATGGATAAAATGGAATAATTCGGCTCGGAAAAGAGCCCTGAGTCCATATTCCCGATCATTTCGGAACTCTGACATGGAATTATTTCAAATGAATTATTTCAAATGAATTATTTCAAATGAATTATTTCAGAGGAATTATTTCAACCCAGCACCAACAGCCGCATCCCGGTTAACAAAAATGAAATTAGAGGCAGAGAACTCACCGGGCTCGCAGGGAAAACCGGACTGAGGAGAAGGTGCTGGAGAAGCTGGAGGGAAATCCCGGTTTTTATACCCTCCCCGACGACTCCCAGGACATGCAACACAACTTTGGGACATCACCAGCCACGCTTTTTGCTGTATAAGCGCCTTCTAATTGTAATAATTGCTTTGATAAGTGTTAATGATTCGTAAATCAACTCCTCATCAGCCGATACAAGCACACACCCTTTGTTTTCCTTTAATCCTTAAATAATTTTTAGATGATTTTTTTACTGCTGCCATTTCCTGACCTGGTTTGACTTGGGGTTTGGCTTGGAAGGGTGAAGGATCAGGAATTCACTCAGAAAGGGAAAAAATCGGTTTGGTTTCGTCAGGGGGAATATTTTCTGTTCTGCAGAAAATTCCCTGGAAATCCAGAATTGGGGAAAAAACACAACTTTTGTCTTTATAAATCCTTGGATGGGAAGGGTCATTTTTTATACCTGTTTAACCCAAGGAACTGGTTGAAAAGCACTTAAATTAATTCCTTGGACGCTCATTATCATCTGAGAAAGCCTTGTGCGAGAGCATTTAATTATCGTAATTCTCCTTTTGTCACCCTGATTTTCATAATTCTCCTTTTGTCATCTTAATTATCCTAATTCACCTTTTATCACCTTTTGGGACAGCCGCAATATTCCAGGCAGGCACGTGGAGGATTCATCACTGGAGGAAAAAACCTGAATATTTTTGAGTGCACGAAGCCGATTCCATCAAAAAACACAATAAAAGCATCTCAAGACTGGCCAGGGTTATTTTTTTAGGGAAGGCAGAATTCCTGGGTTTAAACCTCGCCTTGTGAAGGGCAGCAATGCATGAATTGGTGGAGAGATCTCCAAGCAAAATTTCCTTTATGAATCAGCAAGAACATCAGGAGAGTTGTAGATGTGATGGACATTTTGGGGTGGCTGTCACAGACAAACATCTCACACAAACATTGGAGGGTCTTGGTCCTAAATCAAAGTCAACTGAAGAGGTTTGGGATTTGAAAATAAAGATTTGAGATTCGAGATTTGAAAATTGAGATTTGAGGTTCTAGATTCGAGATTTTAGATTTGAAATTTGAGATTCGAGAGTTGAGATTCGAGACTTGAAATTTGAGGTTCGAGATTTGAGGTTCCAGATTCGAGATTTTAGATTTGAAATTTGAGATTTGAAGTTAAAGAACTGAGATTCGAG